CACACACACACACACACACACACACACGTACACAAATGTCGCGAAGGAGTGAGATGTCCTTCCGGTGACGGAATTTATGTTGTTTATACCGCGGGAGAGATCTGATAGTGTCGAATTATCGCGGTGAGTTTCCGGTGACGGCGGATGATTGGCGGATTAGCGATCGATCACTTGACGTGATCGGTGAATCGACGAGAGAGAGAGAGAGAGAGAGAGAGAGAGAGAGAGAGAGAGAGAGAGAAAGAGAGACAAATTGTGACTCGTTATCGGCGTGTCTTCTCACTTCTTGGCTCCTATGCGGAACTAACGTGTGATTAATGAGGTCTGTAATTATGTAATTTAGAGAAGTAATTCAGATGTTAAGTTATAGATTCGAAAAGTGAGAGAAAGAACGCGAAGCGGAAGAGGCAACGTTTCAATCGGCGGGACAATTCGCAACTTATTCATAAAATATATGTCTACGTGTCGTGTCGACGAAAATATTTACACGGCACTCTCGTCGTCGTGCAGACCCCGTTCATGTCGATACTCGATCCGCGATTTTAATCAACGATGACTCGAGAATAAGTTAAGGCAAAATGATAGAACGATAAGGCCCTCGCGGACGACAGCTGACGGGTGGAATTTTATCTCGATTAACATATCTTATCACGGAAATCTCGATTGAAGTAATCTAGCTCTCTCTCTCTCTCTCTCTCTCTCTCTCTCTCTCTCTCTCTCTCTCTCTCAAGTATAATACATATACCGTAGATTACGCGTTTCTCGTAGGAACCGTCGCTCGCGCGTAAACAACTGTGCACCGGCGCGAAAGAAGCTCGGTGCATCTTAATCACCGGTGACGTCAAGTCGTACGAGGGAGCAACAATATGCGGAACGATATTTTTCACGTTCCAGATATCAGATCGAGAAATTTACCAGTGATAATCGCGCGATCGTACTTATTTCACTCGCGGCTGTCGTTCCCCCCGTTTTCCTCGCTCGGTATTTTCACGGATTTGGCATCTGCGTAGTCGCGGCGAGTCGCACGTGTGGACCCGAGGAAGGGTGGTGTAATCGTCGCTCGAAAGTGACTGCGTAATTTCGAAGCCTGGCTGATTCTGATGCGTCGTCGGGGAAGAGCGTGAATCACGCTCGGAGATTATCGCGGCCAGAACCCACGGTCGTTTCAGCGGCGCAGGTGTCGAGCATTCCTTCGCTCGTTGATTTCCATGCCGATGGGAAGTTGTCGGTGTTCGAAGAGGGGACTGACCAGAGCGCTGTGCAATAGTTGGGCGAATCTCACAAGTCAGAAACGCGAGCGAAAGCCGGATTTCGGGTGAGATTTTGTCTTGCGAAAAGAAAAAAAAAAAATTAACGAGTGCAGACAATCTTCGCGAAGCGATTAAGGGGTAAAAGTAGCAGTATCGGGACTACGTGTCCAACCTAATTTTGGAAATTTTTATTATTTTGGTTTTGAACGATTGATTTTTCAATTTTTAATTTTAATTTTTGAAATTTTCAAATTCAATTCAATATTTATTTAAATTCTTCTCGGCATAGAACACACATGTGTATACTTTCTATGTTGAATATCTAATTGAAAGACCAAAACAATACAGAACATTGAAAGTTAGTCATGTCCCGATATTAATATTTTTATCACAAATTCCTCCGCGAGGATGAAAACGCGTGTCAAATTAGTCGCTCGAGCAATCACCGAGTCGATCGCTATCAGAGACTGCGAGCCGATAAATGCCGTTGTCGTGTTATTTATTTTGTTTTCTCGTAGATACGTTACGAATACCAAACAGTTTCGCTTATCGCACTCGTGTGCTCACGACTCTCCCTTCGACTGGTGGAGGCAGATAAGTCGATATGCGCGTTTGTTTCGTATTTGTAAAACTCGGCAAACTGGACGAGGACTCACGGCTTTCGATCGAACAATCAACCGAGCGCGAGCTCGCCGCGCCGGTTGATTGTTCCACGGTAAGGCATCGTTTAACGATTCCGCGGGAGAAAATAATTGCGCACGGTTAAGTAAAAATCCCCGACGGCCTTGATCGGTAACGCTTCTTGATGCGCGGCCGATTTCTGGTTTGACAAGTCCGACTGCCTCTCGGACGCAACCGAGAGCGGGCAGCCTGACGAGCGTGCGACGCGCAGGAATCGTGCAGTCCGACTCGAAAACAGCCCGACGGAAGAGAAGCCCGCAGCACTTTCGAAACCACATGGACGGGCTTGTTGAGAGGGAACGAAATTGAAAAGGAAAACCTCTTTAATGGTCTTTCCCGTCTGGTAAGTCTCCGCTCGCGCGCGCCCCAACTTCGCAAAGCGAGACCCTGTGATTGACTTCCCGGAGCGGAGGGAGGGGGGAGTGTTAGTCGAGTAACACGCATTGAGAGACCAAAGTCAATTTGCTAATTTTGCTTTGAGCATTTCCCAAACAATGGCGACAGTCGTCCGTGATTTTCCGCCGTGAAGCTGGCGATTCTTTCGCAAGAAGCACGAACGTGCGAAATGCGAAGAACACACATCTTGGAACATCCAGTACAGATGCTCGCCAAGAGAATACGAAGAAATCAGGAGTTCATACGACCTCTCGAAACTTTCGAGAGACACTATTTGTTTAGCCTACAGTAATCCTAGTCGTGCAACATAAGGTACGTTTAGCCGAGGCAGATTGGCGACCGCTCGGGACACGACTATCTCTTTCTTTCTCTCTCGCTCGCGAGAAATCGGAGTATACGGTCGTGTGCAGCGCAGATGGCTACCAGCGAACAGCACGTGGCGACTGCGTAGGTGGACCGAGAGCCCGACGAAATGTTTTCAGAGTCGTAAATCGTGCCCGAAACGGGACTCGTCTTGCACGGTTAGCTGTTACTTGACCCGCATGTGCTTCGAGCGTACACGTGACGAGCCGTGGTCGGGCTCAGCTGGCCGTTTGGCAAATTTTGACGCAATAAAACCGACGTTTCCCCGAGACGAGAGACGCGGCGGCGTGTGTCGGTCCTGCGTCGTCAATGTGCAGTTTAGCGTCCCGCTTAAATGAAGCGATTATGGATGACCCGCTGCGGCTCAACAGTCACCGAAGACGTTTCACAGCCGCGATGAGGAAAGCTGCTTGACTGAAAACTCGTACCGACCGTTCGACGCGTCGGATCCATAATAAGACGAGAGTCGAACGATACGTCGAATAGGCGAGTCCTACTCTAAACTGTAACACCAGGCTCTTCCTGCGCAATTATCCTGCGCGCCCGTAACTGGCAACTGGTCACGCGGTGCGAGCTGTCGTTGCGTTCGCACGGAGCCGCAAGTATTTACGATTCGGCGGGCTCCGATATTAGCGGTCGCTTCGCCGCCCCCGAGTGCCTCTAATTCCCGGGCGAATGCACGCCCCCGGGTGGTTCCCATGGTTTTGGCGTAGTGAGAACATTCTTCCAGGAGACAGGGACGTTGCACCGCGGCGCGGCGCGGCGCGGCGCGGCATACGGCGAGAAGAAGCGCCCTGACGGATCGCGGCGCGGGAGGAGTGCAGGACGATGCAAGGGCGAGAAGCAGGGAGTTTTGGTCGGTTGGTCGGTCGGAAGCGACGGCTTGGTAAAAAGAAGAAAAATTCGGGAGGTCGAGTCTCCCGGAGATCAACGCCGGTAAACGGCCTCCTCGAGACCAAGGAAAGACTCCCGCGGTGGTCAGTGAGTCCCATAAACTCGCGATTCCTCTCGTCCGCCCTCGGCTCCTTCGCACGCACACACGCACACACACATATTTACGGACGAATACAGACGCTCGTGTATTCGCACACGTGCGAGAACGCGCTACCACCACTAGTGGGTGGGCAGAGAGCGGCTATAAAGCACGACGAAAGAGAGACGAATGAAGAGAGAAGAGTGTATAGGGTCAGCAGAGAGGAGACGAAGTGGAGAGAAGGCACGAGGGAGAGAGAGAGAGAGAGAGAGAGGGGGGGGTAGGAAAGAGAGACCAAGGGGAGAGCAGGGAAGAGAAGGAGCGGGCGACTGGTACAGAGAAACTGTGAGCTAAACTCTCGGCCGGCTGGCGCCGCTCTGTCGGCCCCCGCTGACTCCCGCCGCCAACAATGCGTGCACCTCGTCTCCTTCTTCCCGCCGCAACCGTCGACGCCAACGCGCGCGCTGCGTCGCTTAACATCGGCTACCAATACCAGTGGACGCCGCGACACCAGTACGATTTAGCGGCGCCAACGCTGCGTCACCCAATGACGGACACCAACGTCGATCATCAATGTTCCTCCGCGAGCATTCGAAGCGCGTCGGGGCGCTGCTGATCGGGGCGCATCGGGAAATTCAAAATCAATAAGAAGAACGAGGCATCAAGAGTCGTTGAGTCGTTCGAGCCGCAGCGTCGACTACCAATCATTATCGATGACATCGTGCAGCAGCTAGCTAGTTAGCTAGTCGACTAGACCGCCGACAACAACACTGCTACTGTTACGCGTCGCGTAACGTCAGCCAGCGCCGTCCATCAGGAGCAAACGGGCAATACTGCCGATTCCACCACCACCACCACCACCATCGTCGTAGTTCGCGTTCTGTCTGTCTGTCTGTCTATCTATCTATCTATCTAGCATCGGCCATCAGTACCAGTGCCGGACAACATACCACTACCACCAACGAGCGCGAGCGCCAACGCCAACGCCAACGCCAACGTCGCTCTCTGTCACGGGATCTTTTCCGGCGGTCCCCACCACACATACCGGTGCTCTCGCATGCTGTTTCGAGTTGGGGCTTGTTGGTGGGCGAGAGAGAGAGAGAGAGAGAGAGAGAGAGAGAGAGAGAGGGGGGGGGGGAGAGCGAGAGAAGCAACGTCAGGCCGTACGCTGGTGGTAGTAGTAGCTGGTGATATGGCGGCGGTAGTAGTTCAGTAGTACTACTAGTGTTGCTGCGCTGATGGTAGTGGTGGTAGGTTGGACGGTACTGGCGGCAGCAACAGCATAGCTGACGTAGCTGGTGGAAGTGGTGGTGGTGCTCGTCGAGGTGGTGGTAGTGGTGTCGGGTTGGTGGTGGTGGAGTGCGGACCAGTCGAGACTCCCTCGCACACGTAAGGGCATGAAACGGAGCCGGGAGTACACGAGGCGAGTCAGTGCGCTATCGACTGCGATCGGAGGAGGACGACGTGCGTCGAGCCGAGTCGACGAGTCCTCCGTCGAGTGCCCGAACTGAACTTTGCCGAAGTTCCTCCAAACGTCGCCGATGACACGGAGGAATACGTAATCTCCGTGGCGGTGAACGGAGTTCTGGGATTATATCGAGCAACGGATCTCTCAATTACACGTGCCCGGACGAGCGGATTTGTGGATTATACCTGTCCCGTTCAGGGAAATACAAGTGTATTTTGTCGTTGAGTGCGTGCGGGGGTGCGTGAATCGACGGGGAGAGTGAGCCGGTGGTGGTCCATGAGGGGAAGATGAGCGACCACGTGGTGAAAAGTACGTGCGAGCTTTCAGCCTACGTGACAGGTGAATTTTAGCGTCCGTGGCTCGGACTCGGACGGACGACAATAACTCGCCGGGAGACCCGGCGAGAAGAAGGCTCCGAGTCGGCGCGAGCCTCGTCAACATTTGACGTTTGACGTTAATTCGCATTATTAGCCCGGTCTCCCGTCTTAGTCTCCGTAAAGCGCCGAAAACGACGTCGAGAGCTGTGAAGGCGCGTTCGCAAAAGTTCTCCTCGCAAAACTGATAATAACTCGCATTGATTTGCTTGTTGCGGCATCGCGAGCGACCGTGTTGTTTGCACGGAAGGAGTAACTCGCAGGCATTGATGCTGCCGGATTAACTCGATTTCTTGCGAGCACAGCTCTCCTCTCGTCGTTTTCAACGCTTCCACTATAGATAAGACCTCGACATCGACTCTGGACCCTGAAATTGTCGATTCCAACTCCCATTTCCATACGAAAAAGTGTCTTTTCCCACTCGTTCTCTCTCTCTCTCTCTCTCTCTCTCTCTCTCTCTCTCGCTCTCTCTCTCTCTCGCTCTAGCTCTACCGCTCGATGACATAGAATGCAGACTCATTAGCAGTTGGACTGAAAATTGATGTCTTATCGCGGCGCGAAAGACTCGTTTCTCTCTATCGATTCATCCGGTCGTCACTTTACTTCGCGTTAGCCCGAGAGATACAACCGTAATCCTCCTCCTGCCACCCGCGGCTTGTACGTACATCACGAACCGCATCGCATTCGCATTTTCTCACGTAGTTCTGCTCTAAGGATCCCGTGGCATCACGAAATGATACTCCGAGGATCCGCAAGCAGCGACTCGACCGGATATCTCGGAGCTGGCGTGCTCCAAATTCGTTCTGCCGTAATCTCGATTAAACGCGGCGATATCGCGATTGACATCTCGACACGCGTAGCGGGCACGAGAGCACGAGAGAGATTCGCGCGGCACGTGGACGCAAAAATGCGCTCACGTGCATCGGTGCGCGAAATACTTCGCGATTGTGCAGCTCCTGATGCATCGTGAATCGCGTATGTGGTCGCGTCCGTAGCGCTGGCCCGATTGACGCGCTCTTCAGCCGGGAACAATAATTATCGTTATCGAGCGGCGCCAGCCGCGAAATGAAAGATCCCGCGCGACCGGTCGGGATCGCCCGGAGGCGATCGTGATGGACGTATGAACTGATGTTGAGGATTAGGCAAGCGGACGCACGCCGCGTAAATGAAGCGCGAGAAGATCGCTGCCTTCATTAGCCGCGTTTTCCGCTCTTTCTCTCTTTTTTCCCTCGCCGCGTCGCCTTGTCTTTCGCTCAGAACGAGAGACGTCTCGCGAGAGTGACGTTTCATTCTGTGCTTAATTGGGGATCGAGTCGAAATATTCGACTCGCCGACAGGGCGATATTTTCAGATTCGAAGCGATACGCGCTATTCGAGCGAAGAGGTCGAAAGTTTTGCGACATATACGGTTGCGATGCTCGGCGAAGCTTGTCCGCTGGGAAATCGTCGTTCTCGGAAAAAGTTTACGGAAGAATCCGTGAGTTGAAAAGTCACGGCCGCGGGCCATCGTGTACGCAATCTCTCGGTTTTCTGCGCGATGCGAGATAGCGATTTATCTCGCACGCAATTAAACAGTTGTATGGGTCCGATGAGAGGCTCGATGCGCAGGACGAGAGACTAGGAAGTCGAGTGAGGCGGGAGGAATTCGGCTCGATCTCGAGCATGTTTGCATCAATGATGCGAGTCATCGGATGGGATCGACGTAGCTTGCATTATTAAAGACCTACTGCGGCGACGACAATCGGAGGTCGCACAATGCGATCTTTCATTCGTCGGAACAGTCGTCGGGATGCAGCAAGCTTACCTGCCTACCAACCAATTTAATTTCTGCTAACCGAAAAACTACACGCGCTCCATTGTTGTTCACGTATAGTTGAACGCCGGCGACATCAAATGTCGGACAATAGTCGGCATTTTTGCCAGACACGGCCACCGAAGGTGATACAGCGACTCAATCCAACTGAGGCATGGGGAAAGAACGTAGGAAAGAGAGAACGAGACAGAAGGCGGCGGCAACGACGATGGCGGTGGCGGCGGCTGCGGCTACGACGGCGCCAGCGTGGGTCGCCGGTACGCACACAAATCCACACACACATACACACACGCAGTAGCCAGGCATCGGGCACATACATGCGAGGAGCAGGCGACCCTCTTTGACCGTGCTTGAAATCGGTGCTGGGCATCTCTACGCGTAAACAACAATGCTCGCCACGGCGGAAATCGCCGCCGCGCAATTTAAACCTTAGGCGTCAGCAGGTCCAGACTGACCTATAACATGCGGACAGAGATCCCGCCTGTGAACTGTGAATCATCCACCGCAAAGAACGCGTCCTTTCGATTTGGGGATGCCACCGTGTGTGCGAGCCAACGACGATGATTCATTGGTCGCGAAGCGATACCGCGTGACCGTGGTTGTCCAACGATGTTGGGAATCAATAAGGCCGATTTCTCGCGACGATTTCGGCTAGTGACTAATTTTCCAATCAACTAATGCCGCAGCATGAATAATCAATTATCGGCATTTTACGCACGAACACTTGCGCGTTCGACGTAAGTAGCGTCGATAATTAATATCTCATCGGCGACACCTCAGTAATGATCAGAAGTGAATCATACCTGAGCGCCGCCGATCGTTCGCGCGGTTGGTACCACGCCGGCTATCCACGAGGACACGGACAACATACACAGAGAGAGAGAGATAGAGAGAGAGAGCGCGGCTCTCCCGGCAAATGCAACGTTTATCGAGCTCGCAAACAGCAATCGTCAAGTCCGGCAATCGGACGAGACGAAGCGTTGCGGTTCCAGCTTCATCCGGCTATCGTAATCGGCCGATTGATTCGACACGAAAGCGTGCAGACAACGAGCGTTTTAATTAGATCGTTCCCTCGGACGCGCGATAAGTGTAATCGAGAAGGCTACCTATCGACGACGAGACCACGAGGCCGCCGCCGCCGTCGCCGCCGCTACCTACGTCTACTCGCTCATTTACATATCTCATCCTCGCCCGACCACTTTTACTCTCGAACCTGCCCGCCAGCGAGCGTCCAACGCGCGCTGCATCCAATCTCGAGACCGAGGATGGTCAGATGGACAGACGATGGAACGGCAACGTGGAAAACCGTTCCTCGCGCGATTTCCATCGAGAGCGCGCACGGTCGCTGCGGAGATCACGAGTTCGCAATCCTTATCGCGTCCCGCCGTCGCTCTATTATCGCATGCCACCAGCGAGTATTTTTATGTGTCGCGACTCGCGCGTCATTCTAGTTTCCCGACGTCATCTCGAGGCGACGCGACACGACGCGTCGCGTCGCATGTCTCTTTCACCACTGGCCTCTGTCACGCGCTCGCTCGCGCGATCTCGCACTCTTGAAATAACCGCGACGTTTATGCACGCGCGCGTCAACAGCAAAATAGACAGCCACGCAAAACATCTTTGAAGTATCCGGCGCCCGAGAGGGAGAGAGAGAGAGAGAGAGAGATATGAAGGGTCAACATCCGTTTCCTTGCACTCGGAGGAGTCTAATCACGCGAGAATTAGAATGCGAGAGTTAAAACCGGCGCGTCGGGGAAGAGGCACAGCGAGCTACGCTTGGAAACTGATCGGCACACGGTCTCGACGACTCCGTGGAAATGTCGCCCCGGTCGCAGTCGCGAGCGCAATGTTCGGTAGAAATGTCGGCGCGTGTTTGTTCGTTGCTTTACCCCGGCTTTGACCTCGCTCGAGAGCGGTACGATTGACACACACGGCCACTTCACCGATACAAAGGGTGTCACTGGGCGAAAGCTCGCTCGTCACCCACTTGCGCCTTACGCAGTAACCCGCACCTGCGCTACCTGCGAGGCTCATATCCTGCCGATGAACCTGCCGAGGCGACGGAGCGTGTTATCTTTCGACAAGCAGCCGCGCGCGATCACCGTCGTCTCTTTTTCCGGAAACCACGTCCCGTTCGGCTGTTCCGCAGCTACTAACTCGCGATAGCCGCATAAATCTGAATAATTCGCGCAATTACACGGTGAGAGGGCCAGAAAGGACGTCCTCGACTCACCAGCGCGACCGTGACAATTAAAATTAACAAACTTAATTAAAAACGATTAAATAAGTCTGTCCTCGCTAATACCTCCTTTAGTCGGTTAACGTCGTTTTTTCTCTCAATTGTTTTAAAAATTGTATTACATATTTATAAAGTAACGATGGACGTTGCATCGTTTCAAAACTGTAATATTTTACATGTCTGTGTCATATTATCTTAATATTGTTTTAAAAACTGATCCAGATATACATCATCCGACAATTTCGAAACAGGCTACGTGCGCGCGCGCGCGTATGTGTGTATGTGCAATCAATAATACACAATGAGAGCGCGTCGCGCGATGTACGCGACAGCGAGCCACTTGTCCCCCGCGTTCTCGATCGTCGAGCGCGCGCGGTTGACGCGATTAAACCGGCCGGATCGCTCGTCGGCCAAGGGATGCTGCTCCTGTCTGAAATAGTGGCGGGGCGGAAATTCCTCGCTCGCGAGAAGGGAGCACAGCGTAATGTAGACGCTATAATTAAAAAGCGGACGAACACACTTGCTGCCTGCTCGCCTGCGTGCGTGCGCGCACGCGTTTTTGGAACGCGCCGCATGCTTTTTCGCACGGAGCTTACCGGAAAAGAGTGCGCATCTCGTCGAGAGGATACGCACAACGACACACACACACACACACACACACACACGCATGTACACGCGTCGACTCGCGATTACACATTATTGCTCGCGATTTTATATTGATTTAAGTACACATGGATAAATACGCGCGAGGTCCCGTCGGGAACGAGTGTGCGTGCGCGCGCCCGCTGCGGCACGTGGAGCGCTTACACGTGTTTATTACCGGATTGATACGCGCCGTTGCACACGCGTAAAAAGAGAAGCAAATATTGAATCGCTAAATACATCGGTAGTCTCGAAGCTATGCTGGACGTCC